CCCCAAAACCCCAAAACCCCAAAACCCCAAAATATCATAAATATTTTTATAATGGGAGGATTTTTAGACAAACAGTCGGAGTCAAGCATGAACAAACAAATGGTTAAGTTCCTCCGCTCCATTACTCTCTCAAGTATTTTTGAATGCTATGAATATTACATGAAAACGTATTCTCCTAACAACGAATTAAGCAGGGATGAGTTTGATGATGTATTCAGTCCAATCCTTAACGATACAGAGAAAATTTTTGATATGCTCGTCAAAGATGAAAAGGCAGACTTTTTTGAAGCATTATCTTCAATGACAATGTTTAGCAAAGGTAACCTTGATGGCTTCCTTCCATATTTTGATTACTAGGACAACCTAAGTTATTCTCCTAATTCTAGTAACTTTTAAATCTTCCTGAAATTTTTAATCGCTTGAGAGAGGACTTTCCAGAACCTAAATTTTAAATGTAATAACCATTGAATTATAGGAGAATTCAACACAAAAATTGGTAGTCTTTACCAGATCTATGATGCTGATGGAAGTGGGGAGATTGATAGAGATGAATTAAAAGTATTCCTTAGTAGTGGTATCCTTGGCCTATGCAAAATCTTAGGTCTCCCTATTCCTTATGAAACCGAGATCCAGAATTTCGCTTACAACTGCTTTAAACAAATGGATGAAGATGGAAGTGGAGATATTGAATATGAGGAGTTCGAGCACTGGATCAGAAATTCTGATGAAATCCAAGACTTCCTTCTCCGATACACGGGCCAACAAACTATGGATAGAGCCAAGAAGAGATATGATGGGTTGCTAAAATAAGTACAAAGAGGCATTTGAGGAAGTCTGTATAGAATTTATGGGTGAAAATTATGCTACTGTTATTTCACTAAATAAAATTCTAAAGGAAGTGCTTCCAGATCATGAGTCCAAACATCTGGACGATCTCTTTGTTCTTCTAGATTCTGAAAGCAAAGGCGCTGTTTCAGAAGAAGATTTTGATGCAATCATGAAACCATGGGCATCTTTTTCAGCAACTGACATAAATGGAGATGGAGAACTTGACGTTACAGAACTAAAATGTCTTATCTGGCTTATGGTGGATGAAGAACCTCCTGAGTACAGAGTCCAAAGAGACATGAAAGCAATCGATGCTGATGGTAGCGGCTATGTTGATAGAATGGAATGGATTGAGTATCTCGCCTCTCCAGATCCAGAAACAGGTAAAACTACTTTCAACTTCAAGCTGAAAAGAGCATTTGACACTCATGATAAGGATAAAGACGGATTTATTGATGTCAACGACTTATTTCTTCTTCTAAAAGATACTTTATGTGAAATAACAAAAGGAAAAAGTGGTTCAACTAAAAGGGTGATTGAGAAGCTTACCAAAGCCCTTGCTGTTGATATTATGAACACCCTTGATACTAGAGAAAACAATGGAAAACTCGATTGGCCTGCCTTCAAAAAATACATGTGGTATGCAAAGGAGAAGGAGAAACAATTGAAAGAATTCGTAGAGCAACAGCAATAGATATTTACTTTATTATCAATATCGCCTTGTGATTCCGGGGTTTTGGGGTTTTGGGGTTTTGGGGTTTTGGGG